TACATTTATGCAAGTTTTATGTACAGTATGAAATAAATAAATAACCTTTTTAAAGTTTCAAAAATGCATTTTATTTACATAAAATTTACAAAGAACTCAGACATTTTCAACCGGCTTCAAAAAAGGGGAGGTTATCAATTCTTCGGAATATTTTTACTTCTTTTATTTATTCCACCGCATAACTTTGCACCGCGTGAATCGATTCCAATAATTCTTTTCTTACCGGAGAGATGGTACCTTAAGGGTCGTCCCGTAATTTGGTTTAGATCCGATCATTAAATCATGAAAAAATTAACGGTTAAAGATGCACTCAGCTTTCAAAAGTAATACAAAATTTTACAAAAGAATTTTAATATAAATAAATAAATTAATTTAACGAAATTTTAACACTGTTTTATTCATTTTCGTCGATTTCTGGTTTCTCATTTTTTAATACTTCGAATAACGAAAATTTAACTGAACTTGTAATTTTATCATGTATGTAGCTCATTTTGGTGGAATGAATTCCAAGTTAGCAAATTAAGTCTTCGAATGCTTATTAAGTACATATCAGTAGTAAAATTTTTTAGGCTGTAAAGCGTAAAAAGCAACAGTAAGTGAGTATGCATTGCATATTTTTAGGACAATGTTTTCACTCGCAGTTAAACTTTAAAGAGCTCTCAAGAAAAAAGAAAAATTCTTCCAAAATGGCGCACAAGAAATGGGAAAGAAATTTTTTTCTATCAAAATTTCTTAAATCATAATAAGTTAACCCCAAACCCCTTGTGTGCGCTACGTGACAAATTTGATATGTAAAAGTAAACAGACAGTGTTTAATTTTGCACACACTAGGAGAGGAAACTGGGCTCGAATCGTCACATACGAGATCGTATTACTCGTCAAGTAAAAACACAGTTTTCGGATTATGAACGACTGACGGTATCACGTAATTTTCTTTCGTATGGTTTTCGATCCGTGAACGGATGTTACGATTCGAGCCCTGGTTACCTCTCTTTATATGCGTAAATTTAAACGAAAATTTATTAGAGGAATTTTTAAACATTTTATGTGTAAACTGTGAAAATGTGAACAATTAATGTTTAAAACTCAAAAAAAAAACAAATTTGAAATTTGTTCTACGCCACACATAATAATAATAATAGATTGGCGCTTACACATATGTTAGTGTTTGGCCGAGCTCCTCCTCCAAATTGTGGCGTGCGCCTTGATGTTGTTACACAAAGTTTTACGCCGACTCCGAACGGCGATTGTATTTTTATGGGAAGCTGTTTTTCATGGTAGAAATACACTCGGAGATTTGCCATTGCCTGCCGAGGGTCGGCCGCTGTTAAGAAAAAACCTTTTTTCTAAATTTTTTGCGATGTTGCTTAGACCTGGGCTTGAACCCAGGTGCTGCGGAGTGGAAGCACGCACTGCTTACCACTACACCACAGCGGCCGATCTACGCCCCACATATGATAAGTAAAAGTAAGCAAGCAGTGTTTAATTTAATTAACACGGTGTGTAAATTTGCATTCATTAAGAGAGGAATCTGGTTACCTATCTCAATATGTTAAAATTTAGACANGTATTTTTATGGGAAGCTGTTTTTCATGGTAGAAATACACTCGGAGATTTGCCATTGCCTGCCGAGGGTCGGCCGCTGTTAAGAAAAAACCTTTTTTCTAAATTTTTTGCGATGTTGCTTAGACCTGGGCTTGAACCCAGGTGCTGCGGAGTGGAAGCACGCACTGCTTACCACTACACCACAGCGGCCGATCTACGCCCCACATATGATAAGTAAAAGTAAGCAAGCAGTGTTTAATTTAATTAACACGGTGTGTAAATTTGCATTCATTAAGAGAGGAATCTGGTTACCTATCTCAATATGTTAAAATTTAGACAAAAATTTTTTAGAGTGTACAATTTCGAACTTTTTACTCAATAACAGTATCGGGTTTCGTCATATTCCACCGCGCTACCCGTATTTTGGTGGTTTGTGGGAGGCGGCGGTCAAATCAGCAAAATACCACCTCACACGTATAAGTGGAAGCGCGTTTCTGACTTATGAAGAGCTTAGCACGGTCGTGGCAGAAATCGAGGCAACATTAAATTCGAGAACATTGACTGCAATGTCTACGGATTCAGACGACGAAGCAGTCTTAACACCCGCACATTTTCTGGTAGGCAAACCGCTGGTAGAAATATCGGAGCCTGTCATTGAAGATGAAAAGGTCTCGCTGTTGAACCGCTGGCGAAGACTTACTACGATTCAACAGCACTTTTGGAAAAGGAGGTCAACTGAGTACTTGCATGAGCTGCAGTGTAAATCAAAATGGACAACAAAAATACGCAACGTTGCTGAAGGGGACCTGGTATTGGTAGCAGACGAAAAGCTACCTCCCAAATGTTGGACAATCGGAAGAGTTGTGAAAGCAGTGCGAGATGAAGCAGGTCACGTTCGGGTGATAGACATTAAAATTAAACATGGATGCATTTGACGGGCGATTCACAAAGTAGCTCTGATTCCACCGCCTGAATGATGCGAGTTGATCTGGTAGTGGACAGATCAAGGTCGCCGGCATGTTACGGAGTTGTGCTCTACTATTATTTCTCATCATATATATTTGTTTTAACATATTCCTTTTGTCACATTGATTCCTTATATTGAATTGCTATTTACACTATACATACATACATATGTAGGGAGATAACATGTTTGCTGACCTAGTTATATATTATTATTATTTTGCTGAGCTAGTTGTTTATTGCTGTATATCTACATATGTATGAACATTCTAATTATGTATGTATGATCACTGCGCTACTTATAAGCAGGTCTGCTGGTTAAATAAAAGGGAAAAATAAGTTTTCTTTTATCTTGGCATAGCTGTACGAGCCTTAAGAATTGCGTTTTATTTGGTTGAAGAATTTAAGAGGAAGCTAAAAACCATTACTTCCTAAACACCCCGTGTAATAAAATTAAACACCGGCTAGTTACTGTTACATACCAAATCTTTCGCGTAGAGTAACATTACACATAAAATGTTTAAAATGAAGTAAATATGAGCACTTAATTTTTATTATTAGTAGTAAATGTATTTTTATTTTCAAAATGTTCGCAATTTTAAACATTTCACGTACATATTTATGTGCAGGCATATTTTGAACATCTCATGCTCAAAATCAAATCTTGAACATCGTATTCGTATATTTACACAGATTCTGGTAGAAAAATACCACCTTTCAGTGGAAGTTTAATATGCAGTTTTTAAGGTGAATGTTAGAAGTGATACAGTGATCTTTTTTTTCGGTTGAAAGATTCTTGAAAAAGCCACCTATAGCCCATGCAAAAAAAACAGATTCTACCAGTAGATCAGTGATGCACAGAGAGAGATTTTGCTCTGTGCGCGTCAATATAAAATCTACAGTGAGCTTTGAAGAGATCCGCCCCGGGCCTTTTAAAGCCTCACCTTGTACTTTATTAATTGTCGTAGCAAAGGCTACCTTTACCGGGAAATGTTTTCATACTAATTGGAAAGGCATGACTGGAAAATTAGTTTATGGGGTGGTAAATCCGACTGATTCAGGGAGTTCAAAAATTCTATAGGATATAATTGATCATTGCTCACATATTGTTGAACAGAACCTGAACTGAGGTAAATCGTTTCTTCACCAAATAACGGATTGGAAATAATATGCTCATTAATTTTTGTGCAATCATCATTTTTGGACATAATATCTCTGCTGAATAAAACTAGGGAGTATTGTTATTATCAATTTGCGTGACATTGAATACGGAAATAATAATACTGTTGTAATTACAATAACATTTAATAGCTTCATTGGAGTATTCGTGTGAACTTCTAAATCGCCAATACCTGATTAGAGTAGCCATTCAGTAAAAACATTCCCGCATATCACGGATAACTCATGAGTTTTAACCTGTCGCCATAAAGGTGATCCCTTAACTAAACTTTCAACGATGTCCGTCCTACTATCATGTCTAACGACAGATAACACTTGATGGAATTCTCTACCAAACAGAAGGACTTTGCCTCCAAAAAGGAAACTATTATTCATTATGTCTTCCAAAAGTCGATCTACTACTACGCTCAGTGCTTCTTTGGGAACCATCGATATCTCATCCCAAATAGTGAGGTCCGAGAAATGGAGAAGTTGTGCATATTACGTGAACTTCTCTCCTTCCAAATTAAAAATTTTAAAGGAGATATCGATTGGTAACAGGAAAATAACTTTGAAAAAAAATATAAAGATGCATGTAAAGATTAATATTTTTAAGACAAATTTTTTGTCAAAATCTATGTATTTAGTCACTAAAATTTCAAGCGGTTAGCAACCCTTATAAAAAAGTTTTTTATTTTTGCATCAATCAGTGAACTTTTCTTCAAAATGGCGTTTCAAACATTTAACATTATGGAGTATTATGGCAGATATGGCGCTTTATTGACCGGATCCAGTGCTTTCAGCTTTTTAAAACCCACTTTTTTTAATAAATAACTAGATTTGAACAACGTTACTAAAAATGTATGTATATGAGCTTCCCTGCTTCAAAATGAGATGTAATTCATTAAGTGTGATCAAATATTAAAGGAGATATCGTTTGGTAACAGAAAAATACCTTTAAAAATAAGTATACAGATTGAGCTATTCAATCTTCATATTTGGTGAAATCCTAAATATAAAAATACAAAGCATCAGTGTTTTTTATTTCTAAACCGCAACAAGAAAAGGTGTAACTTACGTAAACCAGTTGAAAGCTAGCATCTAACCGTGGTTACGCACATTTGGCATTAAGTGCGGTTCGCGAGCGAAATGGTAGTGCCCAAAAAATTTATTTGAAAAGGAAAAATCGCCCAAGGCGATTTCCTAAATTTTTACGCGCAAATATCCAACAAAAAATCGCCAATTTGGCGCTAATTTGCCTAGTCTGGACACTCTGCTCTTTGCCTTGCATAGTAATTAAATAATTAACTGTTTAATAAGCAATGACAACATACCGTCTAAACTTTTTGGGAGCTCCCCATTCTGTTGATATCATGACGTCAAAATATGGTTGATACCAAAAGTCGTATCCACATAATGCCGTTTGGTCTCCTTTGGTCCAAGTGCCTAGGCAGCTGAAATTCTCCGCTTCAAATAAAATAAAGTCACCTTTAGCGTTACCGTCAGCATCACCAAGTGTGGAAATCATGACTTTTCCATCAGCCAAACAATGTGTGGTATGAGGAGCAGTAACATTATGACTGTTAAGAACACTTCCATCTATAGTTTTCCATAAAGAAGGCTTTCGTGGGTCAGATACGACATCCAAAATATAAATGAAATCAGAATTTATCGAAGGCAATATTAATTTGTCACGTTTAGGGATTTCTTTAGCATTAGAATCAACATAGTAACAGCTGGAGCAAGCATTCCATCCCGAATGATGTAATTCATTTCCTCTGCGGTTGGTAAACGTTCTATGGATTACCTGTTAAAATAAATTTGTTTACTGAAATAAGTATTGACATTTATTCAGGTAATAATTTGGGCAACGAAAAATTTGCTCTTTAAAGTTTAATTTGTCTAACCCACGTCTAATCCTTATTACTTACTTGAGTAAGGATTGAACATGGATTAGAGGTATGAGCCACTTATCAGTTTATTGCAGATGACCATCCATATATGTAAATGTATGTATATATGCTTAAAAATTAAATATACACCAGAACTTCAAGGGAGATCTCCCAATGTGAGCAATAAAAGAGTACTCCCTTTGATTTCGGAGCATTACGAGAGATTTATGGGTTTTGACCTCCTTTATAACTCCGTTAGGAGTTTCAATAAACAACTTTTTGATTAAAAAGCAGATTTTTGACAATTGCTCAATTGTGACAAATTCGGAGCGGCGTTACCCAATTGAAAGTTTTTTGGGGTGGGAGATTTTATATCCTAAATTTTGGATTATGAATAAAATAGTTGTATTAATATTTACCTTTTAAAAATAATGAATATCTTATCTTAAAAACGTTTAAATTTTACGCTAAAATCGACAACAACTTGCCAAATCATTATTTTAATATTAATACAATTTTAGTGAACATATTTTAAAATTTTTTTAGTGTCCTCATGTCATCTGATTATTTCACAATGTAGTTTTCCATATCGGATACGATAATTCTGATATAATTCAGACACTGAAATTACACTTTTCGATGTGTTATTTGATACATATTGTCTTTGCCCATTTAACAGCAAATGGAATTTACTTTGGGACCCATGGGTCGTGAAATTTTTCCAGCAACACATATTGTTTTCACATGAAATTTTGACACACCCAAAAACGAAAAATAAAAATTTGTGTAGTTCAGGGGCGGTTTAGTAAATGTTTGAAGGTTGTTTTAATATATCCTATCTTATTATATATTTCTTAGCTTTGGTAGAATGAAGTCTAATATTCTTTTTTGGTCAACTATGATGTTTGATTTCATTTCTTGCAACCATTAGTTCATTTCGCTTGAGGAGTCACAATGCCCATACTGGCTGTACCGATTTTTTTTAAATTTCGGACACAAATTTTCCAAGAATGGTTATAGGCTAAAGCAAAACCAATATCTAAAGGGGGTGTGGAACCTCCCATAGAAATCGAATTTTTCATAGTGCATATCGCTGCAAGCAGTGGCATAGCGGTGGGGAAATATGTATGTCATTGAACTACAATTATTTACTTTTGAATTAATAACACAATACTATTTTATCCTTCTGATTTAAAATTTTTTTATTTCAGACGGATGACAAATTATCCTTTAATGAATATATGAGTAGTCCACTCGCAAACAGCGTTATGTGATTTTACAAAAGTAAATCATAAATTAAAAAAAAAAACGTCTACGACAACAGGTAACATCCGAACTGTATCTTTTTTATTACCTGAAAATTTGGATAAATAAGAGCCTAATACCATTAAAAAAATAAAATTGCAGTATGGTAGATTTGCAAATTTTATATTTAAAAATTTAATATTGCAAGTTTTGAAACAGTAACTTTTACATAGCTAGCTTTTTTTAGCTTTTCGCGTTCTCTCCTCTAGGAAGATTGGTTTGCTTCTTTTTTGCGACCTCTTCCACTAGGCAGAGACATTTGAAAGTGTATAAATAAGTATTATAGCGACTTTTGCAAGAGTAGTTAACATTTCATGCTATTTTTTCAGAATATAGAAAAAATTTTCACTCTGCTGTTAGTGGACATGAAACCCACCAAAAACTAAAAATCTAAAATAAAATTTACATAACGCACTTTGCAAGTGGACTACTCAATTGTTGAATATGCTATCTTATTTGTCCCTTCTTTTTATACAATTAAGGAGCGGCTGAATGGTTTAACGATGTTAGCGGTACATAATGATGTGCCGATTACAACACAAGAAGTAATTGAAAAAATGTGTGTTAAGCAACGAAGATTAAAAATCGCTTTATAAGTAGTAAGATTTTGTAGACTTGTACATAAATAAATGTAAATAGATACGCGTAAATATATAAATATGCAGATATATTGAATGTGTAAAAACTGAAGTGTATACTAACGAAACTTCTACAAAACAAAATTGGACTACACACTAATTAATTAAAATGATGTAGTAATTTAATTTTTTAAATTTAAATAAAGCATGAATTCCTCAGGGAATAACCGAGTAGACAAAAAATATATAACGGTAGAAATGGCACATACATACATATATGAAAGAATGCCCACAGGCGACGCCATCGTTGCCACTAACAATCTTTTCCCCCCTACCAATTTTCTTCCCAAATCCGACCAAAATCGTTTACAACCTACCAAATAAATTTCAATTACAAAAAAGGATTCTGAAAGCATACAATTCATCTATTTAAGATCAAAAGTTCCGAATACAAAACAATTACATACATACATATATGTACTTTGTACATTTTAAAACAAACAAGAAATAAATAAATGCAGACACAGTCTTAGGCACAGATATGAGATCATTGAAAATTTTGTTGGTTCTATGAATTATATACATATGTACATGTTATGTACCGCAAAGTTAATTGTTTTTTAAAGTAAATTTAAATCAATTAATTGCACATGCAAATCTTTAGCAGCTGACCACACATCAAGCTCACTTAGCCTCAGTAAATTCCACTGCGTGGTTATTATATCAGGAACGCAATCTATGAGATGGGGAAACTTTAACAAAAGGGGTAAAATTGGTAAATCTTCGTTAGAAACTACCTCAGCTGGTGTTATTATTTGTAAAAGTTTTATATCTTCACGCTGGAAATCAAAACTTAAACTTATTTGGTCCAAAAACTCTATGTAAAACTTTAATATATTGGTTTTAAGATCAAGGATTCCAGAACAATTGACGTCACTTTTCATAAACATCTCAGCATTTTTCTAACAAAAATGTCAGATATTTCAACATGATTATATTCATTTTTAAAATCAACATTAATATGTTACTGATCGCACCTTTTTTAATCAAGTTACTCAAAATTTAGAGATAATGTACTTTGATAGTTGCATATAAGTATGGCATAGAGAGCTTTCAGCTTGGAACTCTTTGTTAAGATTGTTAATTATGGGGAAAATTTAAGATACAAATAAAAAATAGCATTTGGATTTGCAACACATTCCTTCTGCCAGCTCTGCAGATCGCATACAGTTTACTTCGTAAAAGCGGGAAATAAAATAAAGTTTCAAACTATCCCATTGCTCCATTCCCGCCCATCCGGCTAAATTTTTGCGCCGAGTCACGAAAGGCAGGAGTTTATTAAGTGTCGAGATCTAAAACCAAGGCGAATTTATACAAGGTGGTGTTACTGGCGAATTTAGATTAGATAGGTTCTTCTGAATGTCAAAATGATGTGTTTGTTGTAATATGAATTCGCCTAGTTTACAACATTTCGACATTCAGAAGGACCGCGGTGAAAACCTAAATTCGCCAGTAACACCACCTTGTATAAGTTCGCCTTATCTAAAACTATTCAGCTACAGAACCAAATTCATCAGCTGATTATTATGTATTTATGTTAGTCAATCATTTATTTAGAGAGGATAGAATCGCTTTCTTAATGCTGCAAAGCGTATCAGATATATCAAATGTGCTGGAATGAGAGTTAAAATCGTGGCATAAGTAACGGAGTAGCTCGTGTAATTCAAAATTAGTTTTACAAGTTTTCAAAAAAAGGGAACAAAAGTGTCTTGATACCCTGGATGGAACATTAAGGCTAACTTCACCCAGAAGAAGCGGCCTTGAATTTAAGCCTGTCAGTAATTTAACCATAAAAAACACAACGCTTCCTAGTGAAAGCCATCGTGTTTGAGATATGCCCAAGATTTTGTGGGGTTTTACCGAACAGTAGTCCTGAAATTCCTGCAGTTTATTTATCCTCTTTGGACTGTGGGAAAAGAAACTAAATATGTTGCGGCACAGTGTCTCAATGCTTTTCGGCAATTTTTTACAAGCGTAGCTTGAGCAAAGATGAAGTGAGTGCATGTGCACTTTATATAAAATAAATCGGTTTCTGCACTCAATAATGTTTTTAGCCCGCCCAAGTATCCAGCCATAACATTGGCTCCATCGTGACCAAACCAATTAGGTTTCTTATTTCTAAAGGCAGGATTGGCTAATAATTAAAAGGTACAATTGGCAAATATTTATATTCAAAATTTGTTTGAAATATATATTTTTATAATTAAGAATTTATAAACTTAGTTCAACTATCCGACCAAAATTTTACTTTGCCGACCAACCTACCAAATGAAAAAGAAGCGACCAAATTTGGTCGGAAAAGACCAACAGTGGCAACACTGGGCGACGCACTATAGGCAAAACACGATTTTTTTCAAAATCGTAGATCTTCGCTTAGAAAAGAGATAATGGAATGCAGCATTTAACCCTTTAATGCAGAGTCTGACATATATGAAACGCTTTTTAACCCTTTCAAGGCAGAGGAAAAAGGTTCCCAATATGCTTTTGAACGTGCTTTTTCTCATGTTGACGTAGATATTAATCGTAGAAAATTTTTCCATAGTAAAATAATAATAAAAAAAAATAAATAAAAAAAATAAAATAAAAAAATAAAAATATTAAAAATAAAAATAAAAATAAATAAAAAATAAAAATAAATAAAAAGTGCGTTGAAAACATATTGAGACCCATTTTGCCTCTGCCTTGAAAGGGTTAAAACGCGTTTCATATATGACAGACTGCATTAAAGGGTTAAATGCTGCACTCTCGTAAAGATATCGACCAGTATAACCATTTTTGTTATATAATTTTTTTTGTGAAAGATTATAGTTTACGAGTTATTAGAGTTTAAAGGTAGCTTTCCTTTTTCCAATCTGGCCACTCGGGTACAGCATCCAATGTCCTAAGAATCGAGTTTTAAGATAAAATAAAGAGAAATCTTTCAGAAACAGTGCTAATGGTGTATTAAGTGTAGGGTTTCTAGTGGAATTGGA